CTCTCTCTCTCTCTCCATCTCTCTCTTTATCTCTCTCTCCATCTCTATCTCTCTTGTGTCTCAGCATTGCGGCACACTCTCTTTCAGAGAGTAGTCAAGGACACTCCAAATTGGAGACCCAGCTCTGCCCCGACCCACTGTTTGAAGTAGCCCTGTCTTCATTTCCCACCCTTGTCATCCCCAAACACACAGGTGGCAGACACACTCCATTCCCAGTGCACAGAGCAGCATCTTTATTACTCAAGGCCCCCCCCCTCAGGGCTTACAGTGCCAGGTGGGCTCAGCCCTCGAATTTCTTCTTGCGGCCCTCCATGCCGCTCAGGGCATCGATGTTCTTGCGCCAGTCTCCCACCTCACGGTTTTCCTATGGGAATGGACCCAAGGTTAGGGGTTTCTTCCAGGGTTCCCGTCCCTGGGGTGTCCTCCACCTGCCCTCCATCCTGCTGGGCTACTCTCCAATGGCAGCCCACCTGAGGATCTGGTTCTGGAACCTTCTTGACTCCACCAGGCATCCCTGCCAAGAGGCCTCATGCACTTCCTGTCTCCCATATATGCACTTTCTGTCTCTCATACATGCACTTCCTGTCTCCTTCATGCATTTTCTATTTCCCTTCAGTACTTCCTGTCTTCTTTTTCCATTTCCTGTGTCCACCCTGGAGCTCCCACTGAAGCACTCTGTCAGCCAGCTGCTTTCCTTCTCAGCAACCCTCCAACTTCTTTCATGCTTCCTTCCTTCTTACTACACCTTCTCTCTCTCCCTTTCTCTTCCTGTTCCCCTTATGCACTTCCCCTCTCTCTCATGCATTCCCTGTCTCCCTCCTACACTTCCTGTTTCCCTTTTACACCTTTTCCCTTTATGCTTCCGTGGTCTATCCCTATTATACTCCTCACCATTCTTTCCCTGTCTCCCTCCCTCCCTTCCCGATCCACTCAAGCACTTTTTTTTCCTCTCTCATGCATTTCCTGACGCCTTCCTACTTCCTGTCTCCATTTTGCCCTTCCTTTCTGTGTCCTATTATCTTTCCCATTGAGGATAACACTCACCTTCTCAGTGTCCTCCTTCTTCACCTGCTTCAGGTGGGCCCGCAGGTCCAAGGACTCCTTGGCACGGGTCCCCAGCAGCGCCTGCATCATGGCATCCGCAGAGATGCGCACCCTCCGGAGCGTGGGTCTCTTAAACTTGCCGCGAAGGTCGTAGATCTTCTGGGTCAGATCTGCGATCTGGAGACCACGATCAAGGTGGAGGTCTCTCCTTCTGTTTCCCTTCATCCTGTCCTTCCACCTTACAGCGTCTTCCTACCTAGATCCCACTTCCCTATACCCAGGCCTCACCCAGGCTCTCAGCAGTGCAGGTTCCCACTACTTTCAGGACAAAGTCAAAATTCCTCTTCCTGGCACTTGAACCCTCCTTGATCTTCTTAGCGTTACCTCTCAAACTCAGAAGATAGAACCTAGTCCAGTGATATGCATAGTTCAGTTCTCTGTCCCTTATTTTTCATTTTTCTTCCCCGTCCTCTCCCCTATAACCACTAATGAATTTTTTTTCTGGGGAAAAAACGTATTGGGGGGTACACGGAGGTGAGGGTTGGGGGCAGAAGAGTGAGGATGGGCAGGGATGCAGATGTAGAGCTGCAGAAATTGGTTGGTGGGGGGGAGCAGGTGAAGGAAATGAAAAGGATCCAGTGGGGGACCAGATGCTACAGGAAAATGACAAGCATTTTCCAATGGTAATTAAATCAACTGTCTTATTCATTTGGGAACTGGATGCAGACTCTCTGGCTTCTTCACGCTGAACAGGGGCATTGATGTGAAGGGGGAAAGGGAGAACACTTTATCACCTTACTGGTGATCTTGGGTTAAGGCTGCTTGCCTTCTTGTTCTGTTAGAAGATATTTTCCCATCATTTGCTCCCCTCTGGACTGCAAAGTGTTTTCCCAGGTGGGTCCAGTGGGGATGGCCACTAATGAATTTTCCTTCTGTGTATAAACTTTCTCGTAACCTTTTGTAGTAGTCCACTCATTTTATACTTATCCTTTTGTAATTGACTTACGTCACCCAGTGTAATAGCCTCCAGATTCACTCACATTATAAGTGAATTGCAAGGCTCCTTCACGATTCTTTAATGTTGCATACTAGTCCATTGTGTTCATGTACCACAGCCTGCCCATCCATTCATCCCTGGATGGGAGCTGCGGCTGTCTCTGTCTCTTTACTGCTGTGAATAATACTGCACTGTACTTGAGTGTGTATGTTATCTGTTCACGTACCTATGATTCGAATGTAGAATATATACTCAGTAGTGGCATTTCTTTCAGGGATTTTTTTTTCTGCGTCCACACCTCCTGGCTTTGCGTGTGCTATTACCTCTGCCTGAAACAGCTTTTCCTGACTTTATATAATCTTCCTTAAATACTAATTCATGACTTTATATACTTTTCCTAAAAGAAAAGTTTGTTGTTGTTATGTGCTGTCAAGTCGCTTGCAATTCATAGCGACCCTATGTACAAGAGCCCTAAACCCTGCTCTATCCTGCACCAACCTCACTGTCGCCAACACACCTACTCCCAATATCCCAATTAATTAATCGATCCGTCTCATCGAGGGTCTTCCTCTCTTGCACCGTCCCTCTCCAAGGATTGGCCTTTCCTTGCAACATACCCAAAGTATGTCAGATGATGCTTCAGAATCCTTGCCTCCAAGGAGCAGCCCAGTTTTACCCTCTCCAGGATGAACCTGTTTGCTCTCCTAGCAGTCCATAGTATATTCAACACTCTTCTCCAGCACCACAGCTCAAAGGCATAAATTCTCTATCATCCCTAATCGCTGACAAGCTGTCTGATACATACCATGCAATTGTGAAGACCATGGCCTGGATCAGGCACACCTTAGTATCCACCCTGACATCATTGCTCTTCAGTACTCTGGATAGGTCCCTGACAGCTGATTTTCCCAATGCAATTCATCTCCTGATTTCCTGGCTGCTGACTCTTCCTGAAATACTAATTTCTAACTTTATATACTCTTCCTGAATATCTAATTCCTAACTTTATATGCTCTTCTGAAATACAAATTCCTCTTCTCTCTCCCCATCATGTTCTCAGAGTAGTCCCGGGTCTCCTGAAAGGTGTAATCAGAACCAACTGCCATGCATCACACTTGGACTATGGAAAACTCTGCTGTTGTTAAGGACCACAGAGTTGATTTTTAACTCCTAGGGCCCTATGTGACAGGGCTGAACTATCCCATAGGATTTTCAGGATGGTAACCTTTACAACAGGAGACTGTTAAGTCTCAGAGTCACTTGGTGGGTCTGAATTGACAATCTTTTGGAAACATATTCCTGCCCTGGACCCCGGAGATGTCCAAATTCTGGGGGTATCCACTCTTGCCCACCTCCGTGATGTTCTTGGTAACTTTTGCCTCTACATCATATCTCTCTTCATCCACCTTGTCCACACGTGCGTGGAGCTGTCGGCACAAGTCCTGGTGAAGAAATAACGGGATGTGTGTTGGCCAGATGGTACAGATTCCTCGGTCTGAGGGAGGAGGGTCTAGAGACCCAGACACCTGGGTCTGAGGGAAAAGAATCTTCTGGGGGGGGTGTGGGGGGGTCAAAATTCCTTGCCTGAGGGGAGGAAGACCTTGGAGTAAGGAATCCAAGTGTGAAGGAGGGGGCTGGACGCCTGGAGCTAAGAGCTATAGGGCAGCGGGCCTAGACTCCTGGATCCTACACAGGAAAGGGGGCTGGATACGTGATTATGGTCATGCAGGAGGAGATCATGAGCCCAGACTTAGGGCTGGAAGGATTAGCTAAGAGAAGATGGGCAGCGCCAGGCCGTGTTTTGGATTTAATGGGAGATTGGATCCCAGGATCCTGAGCGGAAAAGGGGATAGTAACGGTATTTCTCCTTTCCACAAGATAGAAACTAGGAACCTCTGCCCTTGGGAGCTGATACCTGCAGCTCCGCAAAGCCAAGCCCGGCCAGCTCCAGAGGCTGGCACCGGGTGGTCAAGGCCCGCCCCTTCTCCCCTCGCCGCTCCTCTGCCTCTTGCTCCAGCTCCTGCTTTGCAATCTGCAGCATCAGCATCTGCAGGGGTGGTGGTGGTGATGGTAGGAGAAACCCTTTAAAGTTGGTGTAATCACAGAGCCCCATCCCTCTCCTAGCCACGCCCCCTTTTGAAGACCACGCCCCCACATCTGACTGGAGGATAAAACCCTCCAGGTTGGTGTCCATCATATCAAAGCCCCACCCTCTCATAGCCACGCCCCTGGTGTAAACCACGCCCACTGCATCTAGTTGCAAAGCCCTAATCTTCAAGGTTGGTGTCCATCATATCAAAGTCCCACCCTCTCCTAGCCACGCCCCTGTTAGAAACCACGCCCATGTAGTTGGTTCTTTGCAGAGCTCCTCCCTTTGCATATGAGACCCCGCTTACAGGCAACATGTTCACTTTTAAGCCCCTCCCCTTGAACAATGCCTTTGTTCCCTAACCCTCCCCATCCTCACCTTCAACTGCAGTTTTCTTGAGGCCGATATCTTGGACTTTTTCTGGTGGGTGAGATGGAGCAAAGGGAATTCAAGGACAATCAGAAGGAGAATGGAGGGAGGTAATACAGAACTCAAACCAGGTCCAATCCCACTCCCAATTTCCACTCATCCTTTATAGCCCCTCAGCTCTCTCCACCAATGAGACTCTGATTCCAGTTAAGCCACGCCTCTCCACTTCCCGAAGAATACCAAACCCCAAGGCAACTCACCAATCAGAGCTAGTCTTCTGTGAATCCCTGCCCTACTTCACAGCATGGGCTCTGCCAAGTCCTGCCCCATCTTCCCTGGCTCCACCTCTTTTTTCTTTCTTTCCCCTAGTCCCTCTTACTAATATCAGTGGCCTTTTCACCAATCGGCACTCAGCCTGGATGAAGCCTCGCCCACTCAGCCCCACCCACATCTCTGGCCCCGCCCCTCACCTTGGCATGTGGCTCGGTGGCATAGGCACGGTAATTGGCTGATGAGCGGCGCCTGACCGGGGCAGGTGGGGGGCTTGGGTCCCCGCCCTGAGGTTGGGGAGGCAGAGACGTGTCACCACAGTGGCTCTGTGGGGCCCCCACTCCATGCCTCCTCGTAGGACTTAAGCATCTTGCTCCAGGCCCCTTCTAGAAGCACCCACACCACCACACGCATCCCACCCCATGCCACATCCCCTCCTTACCGCATTGCTGTTCCTGGAGGGAGAAAAAGAGGAGCAGTGTTAAGATTGCGTCTTATCCACTCTGTGTCCATGGCGAACCAAAATTCCAGGCCACTATGGACTTTCTTTCCTTGGTTCCCAAGAGTCTGTTCCCCAAATTCTTACCTTATTTCAAGACCTCAGAGCTCCTAGCCTTGCCTCTTATCAGGACAAGTCCACTCCCCCGGGAACCCAGGAGATACCCCCACCTCCCATGCCTTTGGGGCCTCACGAGTCCTGGACCCCTCACTCACTCATCCGCCATGCTGGGACTTGACCCTGTAAATGTGGATGCAAAAAAGGGAGCAAAAGCTTCTCAGATGATAAGTTAGGGAGTGTCCGGGGTGACCTTGGAGCTCCCAGGACCTCTTTCCTCCTGGCCTGTTGGAGCTTTTCTGAAGATATGAGATAAAGAGGTAGGACGGGACTAAATATACCACAGTGCCTCCGCCCCCTGCCCAGGATGCGAGATAAGGGGTGGGGCTGGCCGCGCTCCCGCTGGATGACCCGTCATGGGGGTGGACTGGGCACCCAGCCCCCTCATGTCTCAAATCCTGGAGTCCTGACCCCCCGTTGCTTCTCCCTCTGATCCTGGAGTCCTGACCCTCAGCCCCTCCTTCCTCAGAACTGGAGTCCTGACCCCCAGCCCTCCTCTCAGATCCTGGAGTCCTGGCCCCTACTCCCTCTTCCCTCAGATCCTGGAGTCCTGACCACCACCCCCTCCTCCCTCACACCCTAGATTCCTGACCCCAGCTCCTCCTCCCTCAGACTTGGGAACATTCTCCCCCCCCCCCCCCGGGAGGACAGAAAAAATAATTTACACCAAAAGATAGCAGAAATAAGAAATTCTTTCATTCTAAAAATAACAGTTTGGTGCAATTCTATCACGTCAGGACAGATCTTCTGAGTGAGGCCTCCTACTAAGTGTCCCAGTGGAACGGTTTTTCCCTTGAAGGCACTTCTGAACAGCTCTTAAAACACTTGGCTGGCTCCTCACATCACGGCCAGGAAAGTGATCTTCAAATCCACAGATCTCAAGGGGAGGGTAAGGTATTTCTCCGAAGAACAGTTATCTTCTGGGTCAGAAGAGTGCATAAGCATTTTGTTTAATCGGCGCATCAAAGTGTAAAACAAGATGACAGGGGAAATGCTGTTTTTTTGAAACAAGACATTCAAATGTGATGTGATGTTTAAGGCAGAGATGGTGTCTAAAGCGACGAGCCGAGGAAGGGCGGTCTGGGTCTGGAGGTGATTTTGCGTGTAGAGGAATTGTCTTCCTGACCTCCATGAAAGCACTTGAAAGTCCAGAGGGTGCCAGTTTTCAACTGTGGTCCAAATAGAAGGTTGAGCTGGGCCAGAATTGCAATCAGCCAAAAGTGGTAGCAGCAAACTGAACAGCTTATCAACATGGTGATGATAACTCTCTGGTTAGAACTCTTAGGGGTGAACCGGGACACTGGGAAGCCCACAGAACACCCTAATCACAAAGAGAGGCATGGTGAGACCCTGGACACCATCACTGCTGCCCAAGGTGCCCTGGAAGTCAGACTTGGGAATCTTGACTCCCAATTCCTTCTCCCCTCTGTCCTGAGCTTTGTTACTCCCACCTCAGACCCAAAAATCCTGACCCCAGTCCTTCAACTCAAATGAATCTCCAGGAGAAGTGGAACGTTGTCACTTATCACAATTTTATAGTCATTTTGGCTGACCATTGGATTCAGCTATAGGCACCCAGACCCCCACTCCCAGCACTTCAACATCACCCAGAAATCTTGTCTGCAGCCCTCACCCCCATCCCAGACTAGAATAGGAAAGACACAGGGACACACAGACAAGGGGGCTCCACTGTCTTTTATGGGGGACATTTGATTGGTCTGGCTGGATGGGAGGGAGGACACCCTCATTTACTGTTAGCAATGGATTTCTGAGACAAAGGGGGCCAACCCAGACAGCCTGACCCTTGGGGGGTGGGTTTGGGGTTTCAGGAGGGGAATTTCGGATTCTGAAAGAACATTCTAGGAACAGGCTGGAGAAGGCCATGAAGGGAATCCCGCGTGCTGGCCCCATCCCTGGGGCTGAGGGAGTCACATGGGGAATTCTGATGGCTGTTTAAAATTACACCAGCTGGGTGCTCTCATTCCGTAACTTCTAGGAGAGCGAGCTGGGGGTGTGTGGACTTTGGAAGTGGGGTCATGCACTGTGACTTTGGGTTCTGACCTGCTGGAGGCGTAATTAAAGCTTCTTATGTGGAGCCAGACCCTGCAAGAGGGAATTCCTGAGCCCCTGACAACCGCTTGCAGAGCTCACGGGGCGTGGCTATGTGTATCGGGGGTGTGGTCATGTATGGTGGGCGTGGTCATGGTTTCAGGAGGTGGAGCCATAAATTCAGGAAGCGGGGGTCATGACTTCAGGGGAAGGAGCCATGGACTCAGGCCATGGACTCATGAATTCAGAGGGCGAGGCTCTGTCTTCAGGAGGCGGGGGGTGTGTCGTGAAGCCAAAGGGCGGGGCTATGCATCAAGGGGGCGTGGTCTTTCATTCAAGAGGCAGAATCATGGAACCAAAAGGCTGGGCTATTGGTTCAAGGGGCGTGGCCTTGTCTTTAGGAGGTGGTGTCATGCCATCAGGGCGGGGCTATGCGTTAATGGGGCGTGGTTGCGTCATCAGGAGGTGGGGTCATGGCGCCAGGGGGCGTGGCCCTTTCTTCAGTAGGTGGTGCCATGCCACCGGGGGGCGGGGTTATGTGTTCAGGGGGTGTGTCCATGCCTTCAGGAGGCGGGGTCATGGCACTAGAAGTTGAAGCTATTAGTTCAGGAGGCGTGACATTATCTTCAGGAGGTGGAGTCAAGACGCCAGGGGACAAAGCTATGTGTCCAAGGGGCGTGGCCACCTCTTCAGGGGGTGGTGCCATGTCGCCAGGGGGCGGGACTATATGTTCAGGGGGCGTATCCACGTCTTCAGGAGGCGGGATCATGACTGCAGCCCTGGCTTCTAGAGGCAGAGGAGGCAGCTGGGAAGGCTGGCTCTGGGTTCCTGTGGCTCCCACAACTTCCTCACTCACTCTTGGAGAGGAGTCACCCCTGGTCCTGCAGAACCGAGCGAAGGTCTCCGAGGACCTGTCCCCAGACTGCAGAGTGAACCCAGCCGCCTGAGCCAGCTCCCGGACCCGGTCAGAGAACGCCTGCAGCTGCTCCTGCCTCAGGTCGACCAGGTACCTGAAACCAGAATAGGCGAGTTAGGGACCCATGTGCTTTCAGACCCAGGGCCCTGACTCTTCCTGGCCTGAGCTCCAGCTCCTCTCTCACCGAGCTAATTCCACAGTCAGATGCCCTCCGGGGGCCACGCAGGCCCCCAGCTCAGGACTCAGTAGATGGACCATCCTGTAGAGAGAAAGGGGAAGGAGGTTGAAGGTCTAAGGGTGGGGGGCCGGAGGTTGGTACTCCTTGATCTTAGGGGAGAAGGACTCTGAGTAGGGACCCTCGAGTCTGAAGGAGGAGGGGTGGGGGTCAGGACTCCTGTGTCAGAGGGAGGAGGGGCTGGAGGTCAGTAAGCCCAGATCAGAATGGGGAGGACTCGGGGTTAGAGACTCCCATGCTTGAGGGAGAAGGACACTGGGTGTCAGGACTCCTGGGTCTGAGGGAGGAGTGGCTGGGGGCGGGATTCCCAGGTCTGAAGGAGGTGAGATGGGGGCTCTAGTCCTGGGTCAGCCCCAGCCGGAGTCCATGAGGCAGTGCCCCACAGACCCTCTTACCCACAGGCCAGGTAGAGGAGGTGGAACCGCCCCTGGTAGCAGCTTTTGTGGTGGAGCGTCTGGGCAGAACCGAGGGGCAGGAAGTGGACAATGAAGGCATCCTGTGTAGGGGATGCTGTCAAAGAGCAGAGAAAGGAGACAACAAATGCTGGCGAGGTTGCGGAGAAACTGGAACCCTTATTCACTGTTGGTGGGAGTGTAAAATGGTGTAACCACTATGGAAGGCTATGTGACGCTTTCTCAAAAAGTTACAAATAGAAATACCATTTGACCCATCAATTCCACTACCGGGAATATACCCCAAAGAGACCATAACCGCCACCCAAGCAGATGTATACACACCCATGTTTATTGCTGCCTTGTTCACAATAGCAAAGAGCTGGAAACAACCCAAGTGCTCATTAACAAACTAATGGATAGAGAAGCTGTGGTATATTCACACAATGGAATACTATGCTGCATTGAAAAACAAGGAACTCATGCAATATTATTCAAAATGGGTGACACTGGAGGACATTATGCTGAGTAAAATATCTCAGTCATAAAAGGAAAAATACTGCATGGTGCCACTGTTGTAAAACGGAACTGACATGGGTGCTGGGGGGAACTTAAGAAAAGAGGGGATAAATAATGTGTACTGTATTGAAACAGATGAGGCAGAGAACTGTTTAAAAGGAATCTATGATTAAGTATTACTGTCATGACAGGAGTCCAGAATGAAGGCTGCATGGGGGAGTTGACTAGGAAAGGTTGTCTAATAATGAAAGTTGGGGGTCTTGGGGGGTTAGGGGTTTTTTACTTTTCAAAGAGAAAAACCAATTGGGGCAGGGATGGGCGGGGGGGGGAATGTGCAACAATGAATGAATGGAAATCCAAAGTCTCTCTAAACTTTCAATTTAAAAAAAAAAGAGCAGAGAAGGGTCATCCTACTGGGTAGTGGAGTTGAGCATGGGAAGAGGGGTCATGCCTGCCAGGTGGTGGGGTCACAGGTACAAAATCTGAAACCCAGAGGGACATGGATCCAGGCAGAGTCTGGGCAAGCCCCCAAAGCTTGCAGATGGCACTATGTAAACGTCCATTACAGACCCTCTTCTCAGGAGGGCAGGACAGATAGAAACAAGAACCGCCGAGTGAAACTGTTACCTTGGCAAGAGTGCTGTTACAGTGTAGGTATTGTAACTGACGTCACACAACAGAATGTGTGTGAGAAGTTGAAAAGATAAGCCAATTTATTTTGTAAACTCTCACACAAATCACTAAATAAATAAATAAAGCTCTTTCTCATTCTTTTTCTTAAAAGGACTCGCAGAAAATTCTGGGGTGTTCAGCCCTACAAGAAGAGACTCACTTTATTGCTAGGGTTTATTTTGTGGGTTTGGTGTGGGTTTGTGTGTGTGTGTGTGTGTGTGTGTGTGTGTGTGTGAGATTGGTTCAAGGGTGACTGAGCAGATAAGCTTTGCGTTAAACAACCCGAGCAACTCTTGTTATTGTGACATTGATTGCAGTTCCAGCAACATAACATCACTCATCCTAACCCCTCCCTGTGTGTCTCATTTCTATTCCTCCTCCTTTAAAGATCAGTCAACAGATTCAAAAAGAAAACAGTTGCTAGGTGACCCCTGGTCACGGCGTGCATTCTCTCCAGGGTGGGACAGACACCCAGGAAAATTCTGGGCAGAGGGTAGTTGGAGGGAAGCCCAGCTAGAAACGTTGAGGGTGTGAGTACATGGGTGGATGTGAGCGCGCGCGTGTGTGTGTGTGTGTGTGTGTGTGTAAAGCGGCTCTCCAAAGGGCAGTCACGACCTAGGGTCCAGTGAAAATGTTCTCAAGCCACTGTGACTTCCTCAACAAATCAGAATTCTATGAGAAATGTGTGAAAATTTTGACAAAGAAAACGACAGGAGAGTTGACCCCACAAGAGTTCAAGCTCTGATCCAGACACCTGGAGCCGTTTTACTGTCCAGTGCTTCCTGGCCGTCATCAACCCAAGCCCTCCCCTCCCCATGTCTAGCAGCAGTGGGTGGGGGGTGGGAGGGGCTTGGACCCCTCACTCACCTGGATGCAGGTTCCCGGTCTCCTCCGGCTGCACCTGCTCCAGGTCCCGCTGGATGGCTCTTGGGCGCCACCAGCTGGACACCTCCTGGAACAGCTCCGTCACGTTGTGCTGGGTGATTTCACCTGCGGTCTGAGTAGGGAAAGAGGGGACGTGGGCAGACGTTGAGGCTGGGCGTCCAGGGAGGGGGCCCAAGTGATGCGGCGAGGGTGAAACTAAAGAATAAGGCGTAGAACTCTAAGAAGTCTAGAAGACTAAGAACTCTGGGCAAGCTTGGATCCCAGGATCCAAGTTAAAATCCAAAAGGGGCCCTAGAGCTCAACCACATAGAATTAGACACACATCTGGCAGTACATGGGGCCAGAACCCGGGATGTAGGGGGCGGGGCCTGGGGCTCTGGGGGTGTGGCTTAGTATGAGGAGGTGGAGCGCTGTGTGTTGTGGGCCTGGCATGAAGAGTTGGTGCCTAGGGCCCTGGGGGTGTGGCTTAGCATGAGTAGGCGGAGCACCGGTATTGTGGGCGGGGCGTGGGGAGGTGGAGTCTGAGGCACTGGGGGTGTGGCTTAGCAGGAGGAGGTGGAGACCCTGTGGTGGGCAGGGCATGGAGGGTGGGGCCTAGGGCCCTGGGGGTGTGGTTTAGCAAGACAAGATGGGGTGCTGCGTGTGGTGGGCGGGGCGTGGAGAGGGGAAGCCTAGGGCCCTGGGGTGTGGCTTAGCATGAGGAAGTTGAGCCTGGAGTCTTGGTGGGGTTTATAAGCTAGAGGTGGAACCTTGGAATTTGGGACAGTGCTTATAAAACCTGAATGGGGATACCTCACCTATGTGAGGGATAGGGATCAGGGATTTGTGGGCCCACTTGAAGACAGGAAAGGTGGGGACCCTCAAGAACGTGCCCTTCGCCCGCTGCCTGCCCTCTGCGCACCTTCACGGGCTTCCCATTGCTGGTCCGAAGGAGGCTCTGGTCATCTGCTTCGATGCCAAAGGCCACAAAGGGCCCTGTGGCGATGTCCCCCCAGTACCCGCGAGCGGCCACGCGCTCTCCACGCTGGGAAAGCAGGAAGGAAGGACCAGGTGAGGGGGGAGTTGGATGGAGGAGGAGCGGGCCAGGGCGAGGGGTGCGCACGCACGTGGCTCAGGAGGCGCCCGGACGCCAGGGTGCGATTGGGCAGGTGGTAGGAGCTGGAGTCCCTGAGTTCAAAGGCGACGCCCGTGTCCCTCCAGCGCCGGAACTCGCGGATGTGGATCACCTGGGCCTGGAGATGGGGAGGAGGGCTCGTGGACCTGCCGTCTGGGACCCCACACTCCTCTCTCCGACTGAGTGCCCTGTCCCTCCTCCCTCAGCCTCTCGTCCTCAGGACGAGGTTCTGGGCCCCCATCCCCTCCTCCCCAGGACTTGGGGTCCAGCCTCCCCTCCTCCCCAGGACTTGGGGTCCAGCCCTCACCCCGCGGTCGTACAGCTTCATATGCAGGTCCCAGTCGCTGACCCCGCGCCGGGAGTCGTAGCGGGAGCCCAGGTACTGGCGGACCCGCGAGTCCCAGAGGCGGCTCATGGGGAAGGCCGTGGGCCCCTTCTCCGCGCCGGCCCAGAAGCGGAACACGGCCTCCAGGGCATCCCGCTCTCGGAACTGTGTGGGGACCCAGAGGGGGGACAGGAACGGGAGGGAAGGAGGGAGGAGCGGACGGAGGGAGTTCCTTTGTCTCACCCTCCCAGCCATTCTGGGGCTTGGGATGGAGTGGGAAGTACTCGCCCATTTCACAGATGGAGAAACAGGCTCAGAGGGCAGTCACCCCCTCGGGCCCTATATCCCCTCCCGGCCGCAGTTGGTGGTGGGGGGGAAGGTGTGTGATTGAAATTCGAGGTTCCCCTCCTTGCTCCGTCCACCCTGGCCCCCTGGCCTGCCCACTGGTGCCCGCTGTCCCCCCAGCCTGTGGCCGCGCACTGACCTTGAGGGCGTCCAGCCTGAGCCAGGGCAGCTGCTCCGCCAGGCGCTCGGGCTCGGGGACAAGGCACGCCAGGCGCTCGGCCTGGGCGCGCACGAAGGCGGCCACCGAGGGGCGCAGCAGCGCGTTCCCCCACACCTCCAGGAAGGTCTCGCTCCTCTCTGTGGGGCAGGCGGTAAGGGAGCCCCCATGTCAGACCCCCCGGAGAGTGGCACGTGGCCTCTTGGGAGTATGCCATCGCCACTGACCCTCATTTAGTTACAAAACAAGACCGAAAACCCAAAGCCACCGTCTCCTGGGATAGTCCGTCCTGACCCCCAGGGACCCTGCAGGCCAGAACAGAGCTGCCCATGGGGTGTCCGACTGCTGGAATTTTCTGCTGACATTTTGGCCAACGGTGCAATGTTTAAACCACTGTGCCACGAGGAGGGCTCCTTTCTCAGCTCATCTCCTGGCCGCCTAGAGGGAACTGCCTCACAGCTGACCCTCCCCTGGGCTTTGCGAGGCTGTAAAAAGCACAAAAGGAGGGAAGGGGATTGCCCATCTTTCTGCCTCGGGGCACCTGGTGGATCCGAACCTCCAAAGAGACGCAGCCTTTGGGTTCGCAAGGCCCCCTGTGGACTGCGCCACCAGAAGCCTCCAGTCAGCAGTTCTGTTTTGAAGCTCTGGGGCCTCGTGGTGAAAAGCTGCCATGCAGACTCAACGGCACGCAGTTCGAACCCACCAGCTGCTCCGTGGGAGGAGACCCAACGTTTTCGAGGTGTGTTATTATATTTAGCCTCGTTTTGCAGGGGCACCTCTAGGGGGATTGGGGTGTGTGTGCACGCACCCCACACTAAATGATACTGCCAGAGGGGGTGACCCCAAAATGAGTGTTCTACAAATTTGTGTTACGTTTTAGCAGAAACGGATCATTTTCAGTAAAAAATATCCCTGTAATATGTTTTAGTAACCAAATTAGTTTTTATAAGCCCAGTTTACATGTTTCAATATACGCACACGGCTGAAACCCTGATATATATATATATATAGATATATATATCTCACCTTCTAATGAACTGTCAACCCAAAGGTAGGAAGTTCAAATCCACCAGCTGCTCCGAGGAAGGATGAGTGATCTCCCCCCCACCCCGAGCAATTTACAGCTTCTGAAAGCCTGCTGAAGGGTCAGTTGTGGGTCGGTTCTGACACGACAGTACACAACAACATACGACATGGTGGTAATAAAAGTATTTGTAGATCCAAACGAGTAACCTTTTTGAGAATGAAGTGGTAATTAAAGGAAATGAAGGACAAGTAGAAAAAAGAAGAAAGACTTCCATTCAGTTACTACAGTATAACTCTTTATAAATGAGGCTGCAATTCAGTGTAGAAAGGTTGGACAGAACGATTTTGTTAGCAGTATTCATATAACCTAGAGAAAGATTCCATTTATGGAGTATCATGCATCACTTAAAATGATAAAGATTTTGTGAAACATGGATGAATCTAGAGAAAAAAATAATGCTGAGTGACATAAATTAGTCACAGAAGGGCTATAAGACCATCATAAAAAATGAAGCACATGGTTCAAATCCACCAGATGTTCTGCCGGGAAAGGAGGGACAGTCTCCTCCTGTACCAGTTAGATCTGATTTGACGGTACACAGACACACAAAATAATAATAAAATAAAATTTTTTAAAAAATGAAGCAAAGGCTTACACAGAGACATAATCTTTCTTGGGTGGTTACTAGGACTGGAAGGGGAGTGAAAACCAAAGAATTGATAAGGTGGGTGAACAGAGAAGCTCTATACAGTAAGGATTTAGTCTGCCATTGTAATTAATTAATTGTATTAACCAGTTGTAATTAACGTTATAAGACAAAAAGCATATGAACGATTCAATGAAGAACAAATAAGACTTCTAAACTTTCACTCAAGCCAGAGGAAACAATACATGTCAGCAACTTACAACCATATTGAATACATGTAAACCTGTGATACAAGTTGATGGTAAAATGCTTTAAAGGGTTCTGAGTGGACTGGTGTGAGAGCAGTCATGGGGGGTGGGGAGTGACCATGTGAGTCATCCCACTAGATATCACCCCCTTAGTGACACAGTGTACAGATGGGAAATTTGGAAACTGAAAATTTCCAACTTGGAGCCCTCAACCAAATGCTTCCATTGTAATGTTGTTGTGTACCCACGAGCCTGAACGGACCCCTGTTTCTCCCGCAGAGCAGCTGGTCGACGTGAACTGCGAACCTTTGTGTTGGGAGTGCAGTTCCTAAAGCTTCCTCTCTCATACTTTGGACGTATTGCTAGGAAGAGGTTATTCCTTGGAAAAGGACATCATGCTTGGAAAGGTGAAGGGTTAGCCAAAGACAGAAAGACCCCCAATGAGCTGGATTGACAGCGACTGCAGCCATGGGCTCGTGTCAGAGATGATGGCACAGAGGACAGGGGTCAGAGCTGGAGTTCGTGGAGTCGCTATGAGTCAGACTTGTCTTGATGGCACCTAATGCCAAGCCACCAGAGCTCCATTGTAACGGGTCCATGGAGACACTACAGGAGGGGCTGGGAAGGGCTGGGGTCCAGGTAGGTCTCTGACACTGACCTTGTAGCCCCATCTTCTCGGGTTCCTCCAGGGCCAGGCTGAAGATCAGCATGTGTCGGGCCACGGCTTCCAGATTATTCTCCAGCACATAGAACTAGAAAGATGGGCAGGGAAGATTCATGCTGAGACCTGCAAGCCTGGTCCCTGGCTGACCCAGGCCCTGGGGCCGCCCTCCCTCCCTTATCCCTCCCTCCCTCCCTTCGTTCCTTCCTTCCTTCCTTCCTTCCTCCCTCCCTCCCTCCCTCCTTCCTTCCTTCCACAGGACCCAGGAGTCCTGCATGCAAGCTGCTCCCTCCATGAATTGCAGTAGCATGGGGCCCCAGTCTCCTGTGCCCCCCTTGAAGGAGACCAGATGTTGAGGGCCTTCCTCCTGCCAAGCCAGTGGCCATCACTCAGGTTGATTAGAGACTTGGGGGCCTGAAATCCCACAGGGTCTTCAAATGGTTGACCTTTTTTCGAGCAGTTGTCAGGCTTGTCTTCCAAGCTGCCCCTTGGTGAACTTGACCTCCAGTGTTTGGGTTATTAAAGACTGCATTAACCATTTGTACCACTTACTTATACTCATTGTTCTTGGGTCGTAAATGACTCAGAGCTGACCCTCCAGTGGGTTTCCTAAGGCTGTAAATCGCCTGGAAAGAGACTGGCCATCTTTGTCCTAAGGAGACACTGGTGGATTCGAACCGCCAGACCTTTGGGTGAGGAGCACAACTCCTAACTGACTACACCATCAGAATTCCCTTCGTCCCTCTAGAACCCGGAAATCTCAAATCCCACCCATTTCCCTTTCCAGGTTTCAGGAATCAGGGCCTTCCTACCTGGACCCAGATGTCCTGGTCACTATTCCCAGGCGATTGTGGCCCTAGCTTCCACCTCCATCATGCCCAAGAATCCAACCTCCAGTCCCTTTCTTCCTGGACTCGAGATTTCAGCCCTCAAATCCCCTCCTCCCTCAGGCATGCAGGAATCTAGGCTTCCAGCCTCCTCCTGCCACAAGAACCTCTGCTCACGTTGAATTTTCTGCGAGGCCAGTGGGCCGCCCGGGCCAGGGTTCGCAGCAGGTGCCGTCCATCCACAGAGCCCAGCAGCAGCACATCTAGCTTAGGATCGCCGGGCTCTGTTTGTACCTGCGGGTCTGGGTCTGCAGGAGGACCTGGCAAGGAGGTGAGAGCCAGATAGGGCTAGTGGCCACCAGAGCTCCCCTAGGGGTAGCCCAAAAACATGAACTACAAATCCCATCAGGCCTTGCACTGACAGCCTAGGGTTCCAAAGGGAGCTGTGCCTCTAAGCCTTCTGGGAAGGGTAGTCTGCAGAGACCATAACCGCTGCCTCCTGTGAGAGCGCCCCCTCTCTTTGGAGCCATAGGACGTTAACGCTCCCTTAGCCCTGGGTGCTGGGACTACAAGTTCCAAAAAAGCCTTGCGCCGTCTGACGCGAGAGTGAAGGCAGGCCCTGTACCATAATAGCATGCTGGGGTTGGTAGTCCTGTGAGAGGTAGCTAAGCAACGAGGTGGATCACTCACTTTCAGCCTGCAGGTCCAATGCTGGGGACAGACCCCACCATGACACGGAACCGAATCCTGTCCCAGACCCCGCTGGTGTGGTCATCGTCCTGCAGGACAGATAGGCTGGTAATGTCCAAACATTGTTCTGCGTCGAGATCCCTCCGTTATCATGATTTTTTAAAAAATCCTTAACAAAACCTTTATCCTCACCTTTATTCGTCCAAATATTGCGAGTCACACCCTCCTTCCTCTGGACTCTGATCCGGTTGCCTCTCCGCAACCGCAGTCCAGAACCCCACCCTTTCTGGCCAATCAACCAATGGGAGTATGAGGGTTGGTACAGCCGCGATCAGTTGACCAATGGGAATGAAAGAACCCTGCCGCTAAGAACTTTTGGCCAATGGGAGGGCTGATGGGCGGTGACTTTTTTTGTGTGGATGCAGTTGTCTTGACGACGGAGCTGTTAGGAAAGGGGCGGGACTAAGGGGGCGGGGTTGTTATCAGGGTCAGTCCAAATTTCTAAGTGGGGGGGAGGACAGGGCTAATCCAAATTTAGACAAAGGGGAGTGTGGATTAATCCAGAGTCAAGTGTAGACTTTGAATATTTATAATTTTCTCATCCACCCTCCTCTCACATTCTTGACTCTGCCAAGCAGGGCTTCTCATCAGATGTTGTGCTAATCACTGCCTTGTAATTGTGCTCTGGTTATCAGTAATTAACCATTAAAAAATTAAATTCTATAAATTCACAATTAAGTACATTATTATAAAATAAATGTGTTAACTACTTCGTGGAAGCTCTGGTGGCATTGTCCATAAGGATTTGCGCAGCTAACTTATGTCAGTTCAGATCCATCAGTCTCTGCGGTAGAAAGATGGGCAACCTCCTCTTATGCGATTTACAGCTTTGTAAACTCAATGGACGATCATAGGAGTTGGTTCCAATCTATGGCAATGAGTTGAGTTCAATACTCAACACTCCTTCTGGTGCTACATTTTACTATTCTGAATAACCTTGAGGTAATTTAACATTTATTGTATTTCTGGAGGAGAAATCTACCTATCTGTCTATTGATTGGATTGGACTGTGGTGTCTTGCCTGATACTGAAAGCTTTGTCACTGATATTTCAAATACTAGTACCTTCCACAAGGGTTTCTACTGTGGAAAGGGTTTTCTACAATTAAACAGACCAGGACGAAAGACCTGATGCTCCAGTTCCAGAAATCAATGAAAACTTTGTGGACGACAACCGAATCCTGCCTGGCTCATTTGTTTTGGCCACTCCAGCAGCAAGGAGTCAGTTGTCAGGGGAGGACATCATGCTTGTGATGTAGAGGGGTAGCAAGGAGAAGTGACACCCGTAGTGAGATTTAATTGACATCAGTAACCAACATATGGACTCAGACATCCTGGTGATCTCAAAGATGATGCTGGATGGTCAGGTTTTTTGTCCTCTTGTACGTACGGTAGGCATGAGGCACGATTAATTCAGTGGTAGCTGTCCATCTACCTGCATTGTTGTTGAGGTAGGCATGTTGTTGTTGTTGTTATGTGCTGGCGAGTCGCCTACAACTCATAGCTACCCTACGTACAACAGCCCTAAACTCTGCTCTGTCCTGTGCCAACCTCACCATCTCCAACATACCCACCTCGATTACTTCAGTCACTGAATCAATCCACCTCATAGAGGATCTTCCTCTTCTCCACTGTCCCTCCACCCTCCCAAGCATGACATCCCTCTCCAAGAACTGATCCCTCCTTGCAACATGCCCGAAGCACGTCAGACAAAGCTTCCAAACTCTTGTCTCCAACGAGCTTCACCCTCTCCAGGACAAACCTGTTTGTCTTCCTAGCAGTCCAAGAGATTCAGTACTCTTCTCCAACACCACAGCTCCAAGGCATCAATTCTCCTTCTGTCCTCCTCTGATGCATAGCAAGTGATTGCAATGACCATGGCCTATATCAGGCACACCTCAGTCTCCAAACTGACATCCTTGCACTTCAGCACTTTAGAGATGCTTCTAAAAGGTAGGCATGAGGCAGAGTTAATTCAGTGGTAGCTGCCTATCTACCTGCATTGTGGTCTAGGGGAACAGTACCGAATACACCACAGACTGCCAAAACCACAAACAAACCTGTCTTAAAAGAAATGCAGCCCCAGCAAGTGTTTTAAAACAAGGATGGGCAGAGTGGGAAGCATTTTTTACTGTTGTACCGAGAGTCACCCTGACTTGGAATCCACTCAAAGCCATCTAACAGCAATAGTCCCCATAACTCCGAGACAGCAAAGTGCTCTTCTTAGAAGCCTGTCATGCTTGGGCACACGTGAAACTCTAGAATCAAATCACTTAGTGCTTTGGGGAAGTCTGCTCCTAAAGACCTCTTGGAAGCTGCTAAGAGAACAGATGCTACTGTGAAGACTAAGGTGCACCTGACCTTATAAGCCGTGATAACTTTTAATCACCTCATATGCATGAGAAAGTAGGCAGTTAGCGAGGAGGGCTTATAAGGAATGGATGCCCTTGAACTGTGCTATTGGCCAAGAAAATGAACTACACCATCGTCTGCCAGAGCAACGGACAAATTGGTTTTGGAAGAGGTGCAGCCACAGTGCTCCTTCGAAGTGTGCAGGGTCAACTTTAGACAGGTGTCAGAAGGAGTCAGTGCTTGGAGAAGGACATCACACTTGGGAACAAGACAAAGACCCTCAACAGGATGGAGTGCTATCGTAGCTGTGACAGGGATCAGTGTAGCGATGACCACGAGGGTGTCACAGGATCAGACAGCGTTGGCCTCTGTGATGTCCGGGTCACTAGGAGTCCACACTCACTCCAGGACCCTCAACAACAAGGACATTAAAGCAGGTGGTGGGGATGGATAACCTCTCCCCTTCTTATGCTCCCATCCCTGAAGTCAAGGTTCCCTCTGGGGTCCCCAGCCTCTGTCCACTCCCACCAGGAAGAATGGGGTCAAGGCCAGGAAGCATCTGAGTGTTTATTTGGACCTTGGAACAGCAAGGGGATCAGATGAGGGGCAGGAAGGAGCCTGTGCAGGAGGAGGGACCACAGAAGGTTGGGGCTCACTGATTGTCAAAGCAGAAGGGAGAACCGGGGCTGGGGGGGAAGACCCCTCACCTAGGGGTCCTTGGGGCTTCTGGTGGGCGCACGGTGGAGTGGAGATGACAAGTCATAATGTCTGGCGTGCTGAAGAGGGAATGGGGAGGCACGGACGGGTGGGGCTGGGGCCAGCCATGGTACAGAAGATTCGGAGGTGGGACTGAGCGGGAGTCGGGGTCCGTGGGTCACAGTTCAGGTTTGTCCAGGGTCTTGGGGGTGCAGGATCAGGGCGCAGGTGGGGGTCGCACACGGTCCGGAGGTCGCAGCGAGTGCCACTGAGCAATGGGCCGCCGCGGGTTGGCCAGCATGTCCGCCCAGTGGCGCAGACCAGCGCCACCGGCCGCCGCCCCCACCGCCACCCTCCCGATGGCCTCGTTCTTGCCCACCTTGTCGTAGTCCAGCACAGTCAGCTCCACCTGGACCTTCTGCAGTGGGGGAAAGGAGGCATGGGGAGCGTTGCTAAGGACGCCCTCACCTTAGCAACCAGAATTTCAGGGGACTCAATTGCCCCCCTAACCCAAAGACGAGTGGTTCGAATCCAGCAGCTGCTCTGTGTGAGGAAGATTGGCAACTCCTCCTGTGCGATTTACAGCCTCTGAAAACCTGCCAGCACGTCGATGTCAACGAGCTGCTGTTTGGCTAGGTCTGTTCACCCAACAGCGGCACCTCTTTCGTGGTTCGAATCCACCCGTGGCTGCTCAGGAGAAAGATGGTCCTCCTGTGTGATTTACAGCTTCAGAAACCCGCTGGAGGGTCAGCGGGGGGTCGGTCCTGACTGCATGGCAATGAACGTGAGCGTGAGAATCGGCCAAGACTTGGCTAAAACCAGGGCCGAAGAGGGAAGGGAAGGGACAAGGGGAGCCCTGCATTTAAGGTGATGCCCCAGGGTCGTTTTTCCCCACCCCTAGATGCAAAAGGAGGTACAGCTCAGTTAGGGAAGTCCTGGCTATGCGCTGGGCTGCCAACGTAAAGATCAATGGTTCAAATCCAGCCAGCTGGTCCATGACACTGAGAAAGACTTGGGGTGAGGTGATTCTATAGGTTCACAGCCACGCAAACCCTATGGAGCAGTTCCACTCAGTCACGTGGGGTCATTATACATGCAGGAAAACCTGGAAGATGGTTGGTAACAAATGGACAACTTCTGTGGATCAACACACTGTTGTTATTTGCCATGGAATCAAAACAGACTCCTAGCTGGTGGACTCTGCAGCGGGTTTTCGGAGACTGGAAATTGCAGGAGGGGAGAAATTGCAGGAGGGGAGAATGCCCACCTTTCTCCTGCAGAGCAGCTGGTGCATCTGAACGCTTGGCAGCACGGCTCCTTACCCACTAGGCCCTGTGGATCGACACAGGGCTTCTCTATTCAGCCTGGAGGTTTCCTACCCTCCTGGATGAAAATCGAACCTAACTTCTCCCAGGCCAATGTAGACATCTCAAAGACACCCCCGGTTACCCACCCCCAGGCCTCAGGCACCTCCGGCAGCTTAGCTGGAAAATCGCCCAGCTCTGTTTTTAGGGGTAAAGAGGTCAGAATTCAGAAGGCGGGAAGGGTGGTGGGGCCGGGGTTTAGCTTAATTCCTAAAGGTTTGCGGGCAGTCTCCTTCGAGGCTTCTAAAGAGATGGAACTAATGGTGTTGACTAGCCCAGTTTCAGAGAAATGCTCTTCTGGGCGTGCGTTCTGGTCTCTGTAGGAGGAGGATGTGAATTGAGAACTCCTCCAGGACCTGGTTTCTAGGATGTTGCTATGGCGTCTTCTCTTAGTAACTAGGGTTTCTAAGGGCCTGGGGCTGATGGGGAAGGGCTGTAGGGTGTGGGGTTCTACGCAGGCCTGAGCGTCCCTAAACCAGAACAACAACCCAGCTTCACACCTCCAGGTTTCTAGGTTGTTGCTAAGGAATCTCTTTTCCCTTAGCAACCCGATATCTAAGGGCCACTGGGCTCTTGAAAAGAATCCTGGTGTAGTGGTCTAAGCGTGGGCTTATTTGCCCAACCTGTGTGCTCCTTTGAAGAAGGTGGAGAGAAACTGTTTCTGTAAAGATTTACAGCCTCGGAAACACTATGCGGGGGTGGGGGGGGAGGGTCGTCCCCTCTGTCCTCCGGGGTCCCTGGGAGCTGGAATGGACTGATTCTGAGAAAAGGCTGTGGGGGAAGAGTGGTGGGGCTGGACCAAGGGCAGGTCTGCGCTCACCTGAACCTGGTCACAAGGCACCTCGAAGCTGAAGGCCTCATTGTAATAGGGGTTCAGGGTGTTCTTCTTGATGGTGGTTTTTTTCTTGCGCACCTTTTTGCCTCCTTGTAGCAGGTGGACCTTGACATATGGATCTGGGGAGAAGGAAGGGTCTTCTCACAGACCAGCCCCTCTGCCCCCACATTCCTTAATCCAGAAGAGCCAAACGGGGGCGATGAAGGATACCCTTCTGTGTTTGCACACAGAGATGCCCCAGCCACTCCTCAGGTCTCCCTCGCTCCTTGACACACTCTAACACACCCTCCCAGGTGAAGGCACACTCTTCGAAGGCGTGGTGGGGTGTGGTGCTGTCGAGCCACCTTAGCAACCACAGAGCTGAGCCTTGCCGTGTCCAGCACCATCCATCCTCACAATCTCTATAATCCTCGAGCCCCTTGTCACAGTCCCTGAGCATGTCCACCTTGTGGGGGGTCCTCCTCTCCTTCCGTGAAGCTCTACCTGTCCCAGCCTGAAGGGCTGTCTCCTCCTGAAAATGCGCCCACAGTACGTGAGCCGAGAGTTTCACTATCCTTGCCTCCAAAGAGCTCGCTGGTTGCAATTCCTTCAGACAGACTTTTTCTCTCGGCAGTCCGTGGGACACTCAGGCCTCTGCCAGCAGCACCACAACGCATACACACCCCATTCCTCTTTGGGCTTCCTTATTCACTGTCCAACTTTCAGATGCGTAGGAAGCCACTGAAAAGATCATGGCTTGCATCAGGCACACCCGAGTCTTTAAGCTGACATCCTTGCTCTCTGACGCTCTGGAGCGCTCTTTCCCAAAGCCACACAACTTCTTTGAATTTCTTGGCTGCTGCTACCGTGGGTGTTGAATGTGGATCTAAGCAAAACGGAATCTTCAACACTTCCCTCTCTCTCTCCATCTATCACGAGAGTTTGAAACCCCCTAATACACCCTCATGTCCCAGGCATCGCCCACATCTTGGCTAGGAAACGCTCCCACCTCCGTTTTCCCTGCTTCCCACACACCTGATAAGCCCGCCACGTCCATCTTCTTCAGGTTTTTAGCCTCCAGGACGATGACCGTGAGCTTTCCGGCCGTGGGGACATAGCGGAGGGAGAAGCAGATGTCCCCTAGTTTCTCTTGCTAGAAAAAGAAAAATGACCTCATCACCAGAGCCAGCAGGCTGCCCTCCTCTCCTCCTCGCCTGGGAATGGAACGTCCCAGAGCCGGACCCCAGGGGGTGGGGTGTCCACTCAAGGGGGGCGGGGCGGTAATCTACCCTAGGGGCTTTTGATTGGTCTTATGTTGTGGTGGGCGTGACCGCCGAGATTGGGGGTGGGGCGTAGCCACGCATGCTCACCTCCTCCCGCGGGGCAGCCTGCAGGTCCCTCCAGGCCAGCACCGGCCGCCCTAAGTCCACAGAGCTCATGGGGACCCGCACTTCTCCGATGGCATCGTTCCGGGAGAAGCGGTCAAAGTCGTACACCGCCATGACCAGCACTCTGCCCCCCAGCTCCACGTAGGGGACCTGAGAGAGAGAGGCACAGAGTGAGGGCGAGGGAAGTGGGGGGGAGAGAGAGAAGGGACGCCTTGCAGGCATTGAGGAGGGGGTTAGCAAGGGCCTGGAGTGGTCAGTGGAGGCAAGGAGAATGCCCAGGGGTCCCGGGAGAAAACCAGGGTCCTTGAACTCCTGATTTGAAACGGAAGCTCTGGTGGTTCTGGTGGTAGCGAGCTGGGCTGCCAACCCTAGGCACGTGGTTCAAATCCACCAGCTTCTCCACAAGAGAAAGATGGGCAGTCTCCTCCCATGTGATTTCTTGCCCCAGAAAACACCATAGAGGGTCCAGCTATGGGTCTGTTCTGACTTGATGGTACACCACCACAACAGAACTCAAATGAGGTATCCCAGGATCTCAGGGAAGAGTTCGGGGGTCAGTGGAACCCAGATGGTGTAGGCCAGGATGCCAGGGGAGAGTCCAGGGCTTGTTATTAAGTGCCAGCAAGTCAACTAGAACTTATAGCGACTCCATGAACAACATTGTCCTATCCTGTCACCACGGTCACCGTTTCCATCATGTTCAAGTCCATTGGTAGAGTCATTGCGTCACCCATCTCGGCGAGGATCTCCACCTCCTTCGCTGACTCTCTAACCTTTCCCAGCTTCATGTCTTTTGCCAAGGACTGGCCCCTCTCAACAACATGCCCAAAGTCTAGGGATTAAGGAAACCCAAGAGACAGCCTGGAGCTCCAGAGACCAGCCTGAGGGTCACTAGAACCCAGAGAGTATAGACCATGGTCCCAGAAAGCACTCCAGGTGTCGCTGAAACATGAATGGAGCAGTCAGAAGCCCCATGGTCAGCAGATTGGAGATGGGTCCTTTTAGGTTCCAGGAAGCATTTCAGGGTCAGTAGCGTCCAAGTGGGACAATCCAGGATCCCAGGGAACAGTCTAAAGGTCAACAGAACCCAAAATAGGACAGGCCAGGGATCCGTGGGGACAAATTGGGGTGCTGGAATCTCAATGGGACAGTCCAGGGTTCCAGGGAATAGGTCAAATGGAACCTAAATGGGATAGTCCAGGTATCCATGGTTCTAGTCCAAAGGTGGGATAGACTAGGTGTCAGTGGACTTGGCTACCCACTTGTATTTCAGAGTTCAGAATATCCCAAAGAATAGTGTAGGGGTCAGGAGTTCCCTCCAAGGGATAAATTGGGGCCCAGTGCACTAGCCCCTGGAATATTCAGAATTTAAAATTCATTCTTCCCACTGGAAGGGCCACAGGAGTCAGTTCCCATTGTTCTAGAGACTAAGTGGGCAGCCTTGCATGGGACACCAAGGGCAGGTGCTCACCTTGAAGGCAAAGTTCTCCCCGAAGTGTGGGTTCAGCGTCTGCCTATGCACCTTGGTCTCATACCGCCTCCGTTTGTCTGGCAGCAGGTAGACTCTCACATAGGGGTCGGAGGAGCCACCCAAGTCCAAGGCGGCCAACCCCTCAGCCTGCAGGATGCCCACCAGCAGCTGTGGGGAGCCCAGGCATGATGAGAAGGTCACATTAGTCTTAACTGACCTTGAGGCAGTCCTCTCTAATGGGCTTCTCCTCCACCATACCCACCTGGCCACTCTGGAAATCATAATCCAGTGAGTACTGCAGCCGGCCTAGCTCATGCTTCTCGGTCACCTGCTGTCCTGGCCCTGGTGGTGTGGGATCCAGCTCCTCCACTTCTGGTTGCACCTGAGGGGTCCGAGGGCAAAGGCAGGTGAAATCTCCCTCTAATAGGGGGTTGTATCCTCTATGCCCAGAAAACAAAAGAATCTTTTAGGCAGTCTCAGATCATATCTAGGCAAAGCAAGATAAATATCTGATTAGTAATGTCTGCCATGGGAAGAGAATGATGATACAATGGTAATATGTGTAGATCAGCAATTGATTAGTGATGTCTGCCCTGGGAAGGGGATGGGCCGGTGTGACACATGCAGTATGCATATCAGGGTTTGATTAGTGATGTCTGCCACAGGGAGAGAATCATTGATGTCAGATGTGCAGCATCTTTGTCAGTTTGGTTAGTGATGCCTGTCATGGGAAGGGCACAAAAGCAGTGGTACATGAGCTGTGTTACATGAGCTGTGTGTTAATGTTTGACTAGTGATGTCTGTCACAGGGAAAAAAATGAACATAATGATACATGTGCTATGTGTTTACTGATGTTTGATTAGTGATGTCTGCCACTGGAAGTTGGATGTAGAAAGATAATGACCATAGTGATGCATATGCTGTGTTTGTTGATGTTTGATTAGTGATGTCTGGCACAGGCAGGGTCTGAGTAGTGTGACATGTGTGCAGTGTGCTTGTCATTCTTAGAGTAGAACATTCCTCAGAATAGTTCTGTCCTATTCTTCAAAACAGAGTAATATGGCCCGCAGGAAGAACACAAGAGTTTAGTTCACATGTAAATTGATGCATTTGGGAGGTGGTCTAAAATGCCAAGTTTGTTTGTGATCTTGAGACATAGCATAGTTCATGTGCATTTGTCTTTCTAAACTAGAAGAACACAATCAGAAGTCTTAAATTTGGTCAGCAATTCTCAAAATTCAGAGTGAATCAGAATTTTCTGGAGTAGTATGTTAAAATGCAGATTCCTGGGCTAATTCCCTTAGCGACTCTGATTCAGTCTGATGCTGGGTTGAAAACATGCAGTTTTAAAGCCCTCCAGTGAGTCTGATGCAAATCATTTCTAAGGTCTTGGGTTTAAGGGATAGGAATGGAGCCTGGGGACCAGAACTGGAAAGGGTGTTCTTTATTTGAGTTGCTGTTGTGTATCGTGGAGTTGACAATGACTTATACATGACTCTCCAACAGGTTTTCAGAGTCTGTGGATCCCATAGGAGGAGACTGCCCATCTTTATCCCCAGGAGCAGCAGATTGATTCAAACCAGCACAACTCCTTACCGCGAGGGCACCAGAGCTTCCTTCTTTATGCATACTACTACTATTAATATAGCAGTTTTTGATAAGGAAGGGGACAGGATATACTAGTTATGCTTACAGACTTGAGGCTCAGAGAGACACAAGGGATTTCTCAAGATCACACAGCTAGGAAATGATCCCTTTGGGTTGGAAACCTGGATTCTCTGGGTTCCAGCTCGAATTCTTGAACCTGTGAATTTTCATTTTCCACTTCAGTGGTTTTACCAGCCTGGTCTCATGGCCCCTGACCTCCACTTGAATTCCAGAAGATGCATCTTAACATCCAGCTGTCCCTGCCCCTCTCCTGCTCAAAATCCTCCCATGATTCGCAGTTGCCTTTATTACATGAGCACACTTGATTTCTCCAAACTCTTCATTCTAGAATGCTGATAGTATATATGTTGTGGATTGCGTTCGAGTCGAGCACGACTCATAGCGACCCTATGAACTAAAGGCCTGAAGCCTCTCCACAACTGTCAACCTTTATCAAAGTTCATAGAGTTTCCGGAGGCATGTGATTTAGGAAGTGAACGCCACTCACATGGTTATTGTGAGGCGGAATTCATTCAATGATAGTGGGTTTGGTTTTTGATTGATTGACTATGTACATATATAAAGTACGTAGATTATACATATTTGTATGAAACAATATAAAACACACACACACATATATGTTATGGGTGGGTATAGTTGAGGCATCCTACTTGTATAGCAATTAAGTATTGGGCTGCTAATTAAAAGGTCCACAGTTCAAACCTATGAGGTGTTCTGTGGAACAAAAAAGAGGTAGTCTCTTTCCACTAAGATTTACAACCTTGGGAACCTGGTGCAGCCTCAGCATGAGACAGACAGACGTTGATGGCAGTGGACACACACGTAATCAAGAGAGTGACTGTTCACTTCTGCAGCGGAGTTCACTTCTGCAAGGATTAACAGCCTTGGAAATTGTACAGGGAAGTTCTTTCTACTCTGTCCTTACAAGGCAGCCGTGGTTGGAACCAACTTAATGGCAGGGAGGGTTCCTTGTTTTGTTTTGTAAACATAAACCAGAAGTACAAAACACTTGCCATTGAGTCCTCCTCAAGACTTTTAATCACTGCGCTACCAGAGCTCCGTCTATGTAATTACATATTATCACCCCAGCTCTTCTGCGGGGGAAAAAAGAAATAAAACTCTACGCCCTCTCAATATGCATGAAGCTCTCTGGATTCCAGTTCTCAGCCTCTGCTTCTCTTCCTGCCTGTGGTTAGGCGCTGTCCAGTCGCTTCTGATAAGCCACTCCACGTGCAGAAGGAAATCTACCCAGACCTCACCCCATCCTCACACCCTCTGCCGTCCTTAAGCTCATTGCTGCAGTCGCTGTGTCAGTCCCTCTCATTGAGGGTCTTCTTTTTCACTGACCCTCTCCTTTTCCAAGCATGAGGTTCTTCTTCCAGGGCTGGCCCCTCCCGATAACAGTCCCAAACTCTCAACTTCCTTGCTTCTAAGTAGTCTGGCTGCATGTCTTCCAAGATAGACTTGTTTGTTCTTTTGTTTGGTCTGTGGGCTGTGCAGTCCTTTGCCCTGCTCTTGGGTTAGCTCATTTGTCCTTTGGGTCTCAGATATCACCCTTCCTTCTGAACGTTTGTGTCCATATCAGATTCCCACACAAGACTGGAAGCTTTCTGAGGACAAGCAACTAGGTCTGGAACACTTCCGTCCCCAGAGTCCATTCAGGAGTGGATTAACACCATACCTACCACGATGGACTCAAACAGACTATGACCAGCAAGGTGGTACAAGACTGGGAGAGGTTTTGTTCTCTTAACATAAATTCTCCATGAGTCAGAACCAACTTGGGAACCACAGGTTACAGCCAGCTAGGGACTAAAAGAGAGAAGAGATTCATCGGTGCAACCACTGGTGTCTCCCCCATTTGGAAACAGGAAGAGTGAAGAAAATAAAAGATTATCTGTCAGAAAAACCCTAAGGGACCATGTGAACGTGTCTCCACAACCCAGAGTCCGGCAGAACTAATTGGTGCCCACCTGCCATCGCTCACCCCTCTGAAAGGGACCACAATTGAAAGCCCATGGTAGAGGGGAAAAGATATGTGGAACAAAACTCAAATGTAATTTTTAAAAGACCACATTTATTGGTCTGATAGAGACTAGTGGAACCCCAAGACTATGGCTCATAGTCACGCTTCAAGCCTGGAACTAAAATTACCCTCACGACTCAACAGTCAAAGAGGCTGAAGAGATGAATCTAGAAGATGATCAGTGACACCAGGGAGGCACAGAGCCCTCAGAACCATAAGAGATCAAAAGGACAACGTCTGTGCAGGAATGAAGATCAGATGGCAAAGGAGGAGGAGGAATGGAAATGGGAAACACAGGGAAGAAGTGGGGGAATTGCTGCTACACTGTGAGGATGGTAAACCAGTGTCCCAAAACATGTGGATGACTGTCAAGAAGAAACCGATCTAATTTGTAACCTTTCACTCAAATCACAATTTAAAAAAATATGTATGTCTAAAGAAGGGAGCTAGGACTGAAACTGGCTGGATCCCTGTGAGGGGCAGGACTGTGGGAAGGGGCGAGAGGTTTCCAGGCTCGGCCAGCCCCACCTTGTCTATATAACTCCGGCCCAGCTCCTTCACTTCCCGCAGGTGGACCTGGGCTTGAGCCTGGTTCTTCTTGCCCATCCTCTTCCGACAACGCCTCCGGTAGAGACAGAAGCAGCAGCTGAAGAGGAAGAGGCCGGAGACCAGCACGATGGTGGCCAGGGCCCAGGGGGGCACTGCAGAGGGGAGGGAGACAATGAGTATTGAGACTTCCACTGGAATCGAAAATCCTGTCCTTGTTTTCTTTCCAACTCCATCCATTTCATTCCGTATTTTCCTTCCAACTAACTTCCCCTGCGTGTGGATCTCAATACCTTAATTAGGATTGACACCATCCAGATTTTCTTTTTATTAGTTTTGCTTCTCTTTTCACTCCCATTTTAATTTCTGTTCACCCTCCACCCTTGTTGCTTTTAGAGGAAGCCCTTGCCTTGCCTCAGTTTCCCCAGCTATAAAGAGGAGAGGTGAGCCTTCCAATTCTTCACTGCAAGATACCACTCCATTCCACATCCTGGATCCGATTCTGTTTTTCTTTCAAACCTGATCGTCTCCCTTCCCTCATACCCCAATTCTTTCAGAGTCCAGTCCAGGATTCCAATTTATAACCTCCCCCAGATTTTCCAGGCTACCAGCCCAAATACACACGTCCAAATCCCGCCTCTGGTAATCCAGGCCAGGCTTTTGTCTCAGCTCTTGCTTGGGACAAAAGCCTGGACCGGACTATTGGTCTGGGAGTCACTCACCAGGGCCATGGTTGATGCGACTGGAATCCGGAGGCGACTCAGGAGATGGAGGCCCCGGGGTTGGGGGCTCTGGGAACATGACGTCGTCGTCCTACGGTCTTTTCTGCAAAGGTACATAGACGCCCAAGCCCCCCACGCCCAACAAAGGCACCCACTGATGTCTATTAACAACAAAGAACTACAACTCCCATAGGGCTCTTGGGCACCTGGCTGCACACAGACTGACTATGTGGTGTGAAGCATGCTGGGAATTGTAGTTCCGTCTTCTCCATGGTGCAGGGAAGGGCGCTGGGACTTGGGGTTCCAAGACCTAGTTCTACTCCTAGGGGACGCCGCCTCCCTTTAGGACACCCTGTAAGTCCTGCGGACATTTACCCTCCCTCTCCCAGATTCTGAAGCGGAAGTAGGCGGAGATGTGCGCACCAGGTTGCCCAGAGCAACTGCTGGGCTCTGCTTGGGCAGGGCTGGAGCACAGCTGGTTGCCTGGGTGAAGGCTTGTTGCCATGACAACGGGCGGGGCTTACGTACAGAAGTGGAACCCGGGAGGGGCAGACTCCCTGAGGGCCCTCCCAGGCCTGGCACCCCAGATTTGGAACCCCGGACAGAGAGAGAGTCGAGAGGGGGTCAGTCTGTGGTCCTTTCGTCCGTTTGTCCGTGCATCACATCTGGCTCCCCTTTCCACATCTGGCCCTGAAAGCTGAGACTCAGTTCCCCTCCTTCTTCCCATTCTTGCAGGCGGAAAGGACATGCCCTGGTGCCTCTGGGGACCACGGGGTCCCCCACACCGGTCTGGGCCTATTGCCTCTTCGCGCGCACCCCCGTCTTTGTCTTCACACCTGTTCTGACCTCTTCTGCCTCCGCTTCTCTGCCTTGATTTCCATTGATGCCTCCCTTTGTCGGTTTGTCTTCTGTCTCTCGCTGTCGCCTGTCTGCGTCTCTCACACCCTCTGCCCGTGGTCGTGTCCCAGGACCTCTCCTTTCCTTCCCCGCCGCCTCGCCCGTCTTTGTCTGCCTCCACACCTGTCTCAATCCCCTTCTCCCTGTTCCTCGCTCCAGCCTTCCTGCTCCCTCGCTCAGTGCCTCGCTTGCACTCCCTCTCCAGCCCCGAGGCTCCTCCGGGGATGAGTGCGAGGATGGGGCTCAGGCAGGGGAGGTCCCAGCGGTTCCTACCTGCTCGCAGCACCGACCCTCCGGGGAGACACCGAGGCGCCAGCCCCGCCCGGACCCCGCCCTCGCACGCGGGCGGGAGCGGAGCGCTGTCCGTGGTTCTGATCGGAAGAGGGACGCGGGGGGGG